CGGGAGCTAAACCTGCCTAGACCAGCCCACCCCCCCAACATAGTTACGGGATATACGGGATGTCTTCTTTAATCTTGTAACTTGGGGTTTAAGTGCCATCAACCACCGAACTTGTGGATTTGTGCCATCTACTTCCTGAAACGAGTTGCTATTCGTTTGGAGGCGGTCGGTCCACCGGTGGCCACGGTCCAACCAGTGGCCACCGTCACAGTCAAATCAGCCAAAGGCACCCACCGTGTGTTCCATCTTAACATGGTACATGGATGGTATGTTGAATAAACATATCATGTAGCATATAGTATAGTTCTAAAATGTTATAAATCTCAAGCTTGAAATATCTGATGCAATACTTATATAACCATGGCAACCAGTTCCGATGCCCAATGTTGGCCGTGGAATGCCCCTGTCCTGCGCCAGTTCTTGCAAGACCGAGGGGTCCAAGAGATGCTGCAAGAGGGCATACTGATCCTGCGACCGAACAGTGTCTACCCAGGAAGAGGCCCACATGGAACCTGATGGGCATGGACCAAACAGGAAGATTCGCTTCCTCCAAAAACCAGTGGTGTTCGGGTTCCAATGGGCATACCTTCGTTTTTCTTTCTTGTGGGGGGGTGCCTTGAAAGGGCACAGTAAATGCGCCCAGCGTGCTTTTTGTCGCGTTGAGCTTGCTTTCGGGACGCACCCGACCTGTCCGCCAAAAACCTCGCCGAGAGCCCTGTCTGGGCCCTCTCTCTCTGGGTATGACAAGTTGGGTACCACTCACACCTGGTGAAGACTGGATCTATAGATTATAGATGATATGAGGACTCTCCACCTGCTGCAGGAGTTTTGGGTGCAGGCCGAGAAGAAAAAAAACACCCCTCCGGATCAATGGGTTTTGCGACCGATGATTTTGAGCATTTCAAGGATTTCTCACCGAACCGTGCTGAACGTTCTTCTCGATGCTCTTTTCGCACACGATGCACACGGAGGAATCGGGACGGTCGTGGGACCCGGGACCCGCCACGCGGTTTTTGTTCGAAACACCTCTCCCGTTTGAAGCCAAATGCATCGGAAAGCTCCCCCAAAAGAAACACAGCACAGCACCCCACCATACTTCTGGCTTGGGACGTGTATTTTTAAGAATCATAAGCTTCGATTTAGATGAATCGTAGTTAGTCTGGGAGACCCTGGAAATCCTAATGTTGACGGTTGATTCCTCCAATCCCCCTTCTCCAGAATGGTCAATGCATCTCCAGACTTTTCTCCAACAGTCCACATTAATCATGTCAATTCTTTACGAATAAGACACGCCATAGCCATATCCCAAACACTCCACGTATGCATGGAACATTTAAACGTACATTGGGGGGGGGGCTTTGAGGGATCAGGCAGATGTACCAAACATGGAGATCCGTGTGTGTTTTGTATGGATATGTATGGATGATACATGATGATACCCCCTGAAAACTGGACTACGGAGTCTACCTGGCAACTACGGAGTCTACCTCTCTCGCACCAGTGGGTCGTTCAGAGTCGAGCTTTTTTCAAAAGATCATCATGATCATCCACCCGAAGAATCCGGGCCCTCGGCCCTCCAACATCCTTCAAACACTGGCCGAAGATGTCCGGCCACACCGGCCCACAAAGTCCCGGACGATCGCGCGGGTCCGATCGCCGCTTGGTCTCTCCTTCGGAGCGCAGTTGTTCAAGGCCGCTTCGACCACGTAGCTGGCGCGCCGGTGGGCGGCGTTCGTGGCCAGGTCCCTGCGCAGCACCTGCAAAACCAACTCCTTGTGCCTGACCGCACCGGGCGATGGGCGAGTGACGGAAGCGAATTTTGCCACCCACCGCCGGTAGGGGACGGTTGGACCTATATATGTTGGGCTATGAGTGTTGGGGAGTGTTGATTTTTTTGATGGATGGTTGGTGGGTGCTCCAAAATGGCCAAGCAAGATGTATAGGCTAGGCATATCACATCATATCACCCCGCCTGGCTAGATGTGTGTCATTGTGTGTCTCTAAGTTTCTGTTGGATTTCAAGCTCTACAAGACCATGTTTGTCAAACATGACATGACATTGTCGTGCGAATCCTTCCAGTTGAAACTCTACTGGTCTCCCCTGCTCACAAACTCGTGGACCACGCCGATCGGGGCGACCATCGGAAGGAGAAGTGAAGAGTAGTAGAAGCTTGGAGGAAAATGAGATCAACAGCGAGATGCACAAAGCTTCCTCAGCAAAGCTTCACCCGACCGGACCTGACCGGACGTGACGCTCCGGAACTGCCGGGGGGGGTGACCGAGACGAACATGACCCGCGCCCATTCTCCAATGACTGATGAATGGGGCCCCCTCCGGAAGTGTTCTACACCTCTTCATATGGGGGGCGTTGATTAATCAAGAGTCAAGCGCATGTGCAAATCAGTCCTTTGGACTCCGTTTGATTTTCCGCGCAGAAGGGAGACACGAAGAACAAGGCCCGACTCGGTTCCCCCAACCAGCTGCAACGTTGACTGTTCATGTGGTTCTTGGGTCTATCCTATTACCTGTAACAGTGGATGATGATGGTTAGTAGGGGCCTTGTCCAAAAGTCATGATAATTGTATACTGACTGTCACAGGTAATGCGACAAACCCTATGTGGTTCAATATAACTCTTTCCGTCATCCTTGTAACAGGATCAATAAATAGATAGATCAAACATCTCCGTAAGTGACCGGGGAACATGGATTCATCAACTGGTCAACACCCACCTCACTCGATCCAAACACACACACACAAACAAGGGGAACGGCACCACCGTTGGTGCTGCACCACCGGCCGGTCACCTCCTCCCCGGCCTGGGGTGTCCACGCTCCAGGACCAGCTGCACCACGTGGTGTCCAAAGTTGTGGCGGCACAGCTCCAAGGCTTCGGCGGGATCCTCCAGGATGTTGGAAATCAACCTGTCCACAAGGCGGATCCGAAGTGCCCGAAGAAGTCCGACTACTGACCGGAACATTTTGGCCGCTAAACCTCTCGCGGTGTTCGCACGGTCCGGTGGTTCTGCAAAGGTACCTCTTCTCAAGCCATTACACCAATACATTGGGGGCAACCACTACGTTTTGGTATACACGGTGGACATGCCAAGCAATGCACCGATGGTTCTTTTTTCGGTTTTCCTGCAGCTCATTAGAGGCCGGTAGCTAGGGCTAGGGCTAGGGAAATCCATGTTTGGCGCGTCCCGGTATTCATGCAAACAACTCCTCCCAGGTTGGTCATAATAATGCGTTCTTTCTACTCAAACAACTTGACCAAAACGTGTACATTGGATTTCTCTTGCTCAAGCCACAGCTTCACAAAAAAGGCTATGTATTGGAAATAGGGAGACGCCATAGCGGCTGGAATTCGTCTGCGTTTCCATTCACCTCATGCTCCTTGAGCGTCTCCATAACTTGGTCATCGGCGGTGTCCAGCGGGCGGATCTTGGTCCGTTCCCTCATGGCATGAACAAACAAGTAGCTGCAAAATACCCGATCGCCTTCCTGAGCAGCTTCAGAAATCGGATGTAAACCACTCCCGATGTGTTTGACATGGCCCTGTGGGTAGAATGGCAGGGTTCAGAGTGTTGTCCTCTACAAACCCATGAATTTCAGGGTCCATGTTAGTTTTCCATGGGGCCATGTGCGTCATATCCCATGACCTCATGGCGCTGGTCTATGCTGGTCTATGGGTTTTGCCTTCTCCTATTAAAAAAACACCCATCTGCCAGGTAGCTGGGCCACAATAACTCACAAAGCAACACTAACAAAACGTGCACAAAAAAAAGCAACATGCAGTAGCCAAACGTTGCGCAACAGAAATACTGTACGCACACCACGGGCTTGCTTCCCCAACAATTTACACCAAAAAAAAACATCACCCCAGTTCATCCCTTTTTGTTGGACTTCGGTGCCCCTTTTGGGCTCCTTCACGCTCATGTTTTCTTTTGTTGATGCTTTTTCACCTTGCATCTGCCCTGGAGGTGATCAAGACTGGTGCGCTGACGAAACACCGGGCACACCGTGCACACGATGTTGATGATGATGATGATGATGATGATGACGATGATGTAAGTCGGCCTTGATAGTCGTGATATGTCGTGATGATGTTGATATCGGTGTTCAATTCATGATGATTTTGGTGGCACTGACGACGGTTATGATACACGTGATCTTGACGATGATGACGTTAATGCTCACTGTCATGTTGTTGTTGTTGTTGCTGATTATTTATTATTTTTTAAATGTAGTATATGATTATGATGGTGGCGGTGATGATGATGATGATGATAGGATAATGAATTAAACCACCTAGTGCCAAAAGCGAGCCAAGCTGGCACACGGGCACGTTTTGTTGGGGGGACCTTCCATGACCGAAAGCCCCCGCCCTGAAACGACGATGGATAGCGGCGCCTCTGGGTGGATGCTTCAGTCGTGCAATGCTCCAAAAGACGACACAAAATGCGACATCCAAAGCGGTGCCGTGCGAACCTGGCGAGAAAAAACAGGTGGACAGGTGGACGTGCCACACAAGACAGGTGGAAACATCTGACTGTTTTAAAGACAGGGTCGGTTTTTTGATGCTGTATGACTTGGAATATGTTTGTGATAGTATTTTGGTGGCTTCGAGCCAACGCATGACAAATAGTGAGGTTACTGAAGATGAACTTCGTCAGATTCTTGATCGCACCTTCTTTTTTGTGCATTGCTTCTTCAGGATCAAGGTGGAATAGATGCGCCACTATACGTTATATTATATTGCACAATCATATTTGTAATATATTATAATCACTCTTACAATAATCTCATATATATATATATATATGTGAATCAACGCGTCTTCCTCCAAAACAGGTGTTCCAGTCTATGAGTCTATGATGGTTCATCCGATTGAGTGTCTAAATGTGTCTGGTTCTTCTCATCATCCCCCTTCCTCCAGGGAGCTTCGCACATAGAATGCCCTGAGTCTGGTTGAACCGTCGCTCCTTTTTCGTCATGAGTCTCAGGCGATGCTTTCATACAAGGTGTAGAAAGCCCTTGGCACCCGCCAAGCGTCGAGATAGCTTCGAATCAGCTCAATACGATCTTTGGGAGGAATGGATACATCATTCCAAACTCGATAGTCATACTGAAACTCTATCATGTAGTGCACCTCAACGGAAGACCCAAGAAAGGCCAACTGCTATGAAGATGTTTTAAAAAAGTGCTTGGCCCTACCCCAAAAGAGTTCTTTCCATGCTAGCTGAGACACTTCGATGGGGCTGGGCCGTAAGGGATGACAGAAAAAGGAACCATACCTTGGATGTGCTTGAGGAACCGGAAAAACTACGGAGATTCACCCTTACTAGGGAAAACCAAAAAAACACCAAAAGTCCAAAGCAAAAACCAGGACACCAAAGCCGCTCCGCCAAGTTTGCACTCTTCAGCCTCTCCATGAGGCTTTTTCCGGACGTGGACGGCATGGGCTCGCGGATGAAGATGGCATCATTGAAGAGCAAGTGCGCCAGGTGATATCCTTAACATTTCCGAGGAAGAATGTAGGAAGTTGGGTGTGGATTCAGTAGATCAGTCCGAGCCTGAAAATAGCTTGCAGGATTCTAGTTGTGTCTTTTTGCCCAGGCCTTCTGGTAACGATACCCCAATCACTTCCCTGCCTTCTTTCAGGCTTCTGACAGCCTTGGACTCAGCGCCCATTCCTGGAATGGTCCCCACTCTGCAGAACACCCGGTACCAGTGTGTTGGCCTTGGGCCGATGCAACTGACTCGGTGTGAGAGCAGTCATTCTTCGGACTTTCAGGTCCTATCCCTCCCAGAAACCTAGTCACACCAGCAGCCCAAAAGAGTATCGGCTCCCCATCACAAGATCGTTTCCTCCGAAACAACAGGCCACTGACCATGTCAGGCTTCCCAGTGGTAGAAGCAGCTCCATGAAGGCTGTCAGTGAGCAATGCAGAAAATGTCCTCTTCTTCCATGCTCGGGACCTATCTCTAAGAGCGAATCACCCACACCAAAGCTGTAGCGCAAAGGCCTATAGGCCTCGGTTTCTTTGCTTTTGTTTAAACGAAAGGTTGAGATGAAGCACGGTGAAACATTAGGTGCTAAGAGGTTTGAAAAAAGGGCACATCTGTTGCATAGGGAACCTGCGCCGCATGCACCGGATCACCGGTTTTTGAACTGCAAACGACAGGCTGCACCCAAGGCACAATCGGAGGTGGGACCAATGGGTGGACTTCAACATGAATGACGGCGGGCCGCAAGCGGAGACCCTGAAAAAGTGGATGTGCTGGAGAATCCGGGCCTTCAAACACATAAGGTTTTGAGGGTCCGACCCCTGCCATGGAGGGCCAAAGGATCTTAAGGTGGTCATGATTTCATGAGCTTCAGGTGAGCGGAGTATTACTCCCTGGAACTGACATGGAAGTGGAACACCCTCTGTTTGGGGATGTTGGATTCCGAAATGGTCCTCTTCAAGGCGATGCCATCCGCTTCCAGGTTAGTTCTAGGACATTTTAGAACCAATCCCCAAGAGCCAGCCGCTCTGATGGCGTGATCTGAAAATCAATTCTCCGGTCTAAGGATTGAGGCAAGTCAAAGACGAAGAAACACCACGCTCCTCTTCGTACACACTTATCACTGGAGTCCTTGCGCATCCTCTCTTGCCGGGGAGTCGTGCAAATCATGTCGACACTAAGGAGTCCTACTTGCCCCGAGCTTGCGCCTCTGGTGGATCATTCAAAAGCACTTCCAGGAAGCAACAGTCGCAATTGTCCACATCCACCTTCAGTAGGAGAGGATCTTTTGCACGACGCTCCAAGCCAGCCACTCCCCTGGCATCCTGAAGCGGTCACCAATCAGGTTCAAACATAACTTCTAAATCTAGTTATATTTATATACTTGAGGCCAAGGGGGGGGGCGAAAGCTGGCGCTCCAGAATGGGAAAGTGGAGGGCAGCGAGGTAGGAAAAAACACGGCGCTCTTTTTGGAGGCAGGGGTGAAGAGTCCTTTATATGTGGCTCTTTGCCCGGATCCTCCTGCGAGAGAAGAGAGACGGAAAGACGAGAGACAGAGAGGAGAGAGAGAGAGAGAGAGAGGAGAGAGAGATGAGAAAGAGATGAGAGAGATGAGAGAGATGAGAGAGATGAGAGAGAGAGAGAGACAGTGAGACAGTGAGACAGTGAGAGTGAGCGAGTGCGGCCGCAAGATACGCAACGCTAACCGCATGCCAAAGAGCGACGACAGGACGGAGTCGAACTTGCGAAGAGGGAGGAGGGAGGGAGGGAGGGAAGGTGGGAGGAAGACAAGGAGGAGGAGAGGGGAGGTGGGGTGGGGAGAGGGGAGAGGGGAGAGGGGAGGGGGGGGGGGGGGGGGGGGGGGGGTCTTCGACCTGAAAAATCAGGGGTTAGGATTTGCACCCGGTCGAAAGAAACCTTGCTATCGCAAGAGTAACTCCAGCTAGCTTCGCTAGCTTTCGTGATTATAGTAGTCTCGTGCACACCCTCTAAACGGATATGTTATATAACGTTATTGAACTATCATCAATTAGCATCAATTAGCGCTGTGGCCTGGTGGGGGTACATCCAGGAGGATTTGCTTAAAAGGAACCGCCTCATGGCGAATGCCCACTACTAAGGGATTGACCGGGGGAAAGAACTCCACTCGGTCGATCCGCCAAACCAGGTCGATCGGCCCGGATCGCCTGCTGAGCCACATAGTTTCTCACCAGTGTCTTGAAGTGTCCGGGGTCAGTTTTCTCGGCCAGCTTCAAGTCAGAGCGGTTTCCAAGAGCCTTCTCCAGTTCCATGTAGTCTTTCTTGTTGCCTCCGGATCCGTTTTGGCACCCACACACCCAGCCATGAGTGATGTTGAGTATGGACCCGCCTCTACCAAGTTTAATGGTATGGTATGGGTGGTTTCGGTGCGTCCTCGGCTTCACCCATCCAGGGACCACGGCTTCGCCCGGGCGCCTTCGAAGAAAATGCCACTGGCTCGATGGCTGCGATTCAACAGGCAGTTCGCAGGATCCTGTGTCTCAAAAAGGTTCCTTGGACGTCTGAGCTGTCTGACAGTGCAAAACACTCTGGTTTAATCTGGTTTAGAGGAGACACAGAACTTGTAACAGGAATCACGGGGTAACTTTTAACAACAGCACAGCAAATTGGACACGATAGGATATGGATTTCAAGGACAACCCCACTGGGGCGTAAGGAATAACATCTGGAAATCCAAAAATATCAGAACACCAGAACTTGAATCACAAGGGGTTCTTGGATATGAGGAATGCAAAAAAACAAACAAACATGACATGCTCACAGTCAAAAAATGGTGATGGATACTGCGATACTCCACACCCGCAACCTGATCTCCAACAACAAGGGCCCGGCTCCGAAATCGCTCAAAAAATCCCTATCTACGTACCTTCAGCTACTGCAGCAAACGTCCAAGTCACGAGCGTGTTGGCGGACCAGGCGACTGCAGCAGTCGTCGACAGCCCCCATTGGAAGCTCCCAAGTTGATCACCTTGGACTGCTGGTGGGTTCAATAACCTCACTTGGGCAATTTCTTTGCTTTTGACATCTTGTGCTCTGGAAACTCTATGGCTGAGGTCGTTTATTTCCAGAACGGTGCCAAATATTCAGGCTTCTGCTTCAAGAAGAATCGGGCCGAAATGGGCCCACGGTGGTTGAAAACGTTCGACAGTTCTCGCGATGTTTTGGAGAGTTAACTCGCATCGACTTCGACATCGCTGCTGAAGGTGGGGCACTGCCCAAGCTGCACAGCAGGTCTAATGCGTGAAGTGGTGCAGTAGACCAAACAATGGACATGACATGATTCCAACAATCCAGGATCCACGCCTCCAAGTTCAACAGTCTTCACAACAACCCTGTAAACAGGCCTTCTGTTGCTCCATTGTCCCATAGTTTTCCCCCTTGAGGATGACTGTCCTGGCCTGTTAGTTGATAACAAAGGATGTGGTTTGACAAGAAAACGGATGTATCCCAGGTCAGTCACCCAGGCATCATCGGGAATGATCTCCAACAGCTCCGGAGGCTCTTCATGCCACCAAATGAGATCATCGCGGAAACACACCTGACTGGGGCTATGCCAGTAGTGCATTGCCATACCTCACTTGTGAGCCCAAGCGCGTCCTTCTTCGATTTTTTCCCAAGCACTACTCGCACATGACCCCCAGCCCTCATTTAGTGAAAAGTGGTTCCATGTAAAGGTTTTATGCTGACCTCAAGACTCTTGGCTCAAATCCGAAGTGGTGCTTGAGATTATGATTTGGATGAATTTAGATGGAGGTGTGCCCACACCATTTGCAGGATGAATGAACCCAGAGTTCTAACGCAAGGATTTCCACTGCAAACGAAACACCGAGCATGGTTTCTTGCTCCTCCCCAGTCTTCACACTTGAAGCCAAGCAGTGAACCTGATCATGGAGAGCCAACAAAAGCACCAAATTGCCCAACAGCTAGATGATATGATTCAAATTGTGATGTGCGCTGCAGCCTAACTCTGGACACTCAAGGATTCCGTTTAAAAAACACAAAGCAAAGCCCAACTCACAAATGATGACCAGGAAGTTGAAAAAGAAAGGCACATATTGAACATGAAAAAGGACAAACAGAAAGGCAGCTGGTCCAAAAGAGTGCATATCAAGAAAACACAACACTTGCAAAAGGACCCCACAAAAATTCACAAACAAAACACAAAACAACAATTTAAAACAGCAAAGCAACCGCAAAAACAAACATGACCATGCACAAAAATGTCTCAAGCCGACTTTTTTTGTGACGTTTTTGTGTCGTTTTTCTCGCTGTGTGTGCGCGCTTTGTTGAGTTGTCCTTTTTGCACTTGTTTTGGTTTATTTCTTCCAGGGAAATGCACAAAAAAGACAAACACCATGAAAAACCTGTGACCTGCCTTTTGCTTTGCTTGTGTTGTTGGTGTTCTTAGTTATTGTTGTTGTTTGATGGCTTAGTTCTTATTGTTGTTTGATCCCCTGTGGAATTACCGGTGTGCCTTGAGACTTGAATTTAGAGTGATAAAACGAAAAAACCAGGCTGTGAGGGCAGTTTGCCCCACTATAGAATCAAGTATCAACCTCCTGCAGTGCTGGAAACATACTCTATAGAATCAAGCCCCTCAGGGTATGGGTGTTCATCATCATGAACAACTGATAGCAAAAACATTGGAAAATCAATGATGTATAGCCAAGGTTGGCTTTGATAGAAGGTGTGGGGAATTGTGAGGACATATGAAGGTTGAAATTGATTTTGGAAATATCTACAGTATGAAGGTTGAACTTGACATATGTAACAGCTTGAAAATCAACCTACCTGACCTCACAACACACCATCCACTCTAAAATGCATTCTCAACCTACTACTACTCCAGATGCTTTCTATAGAATCAAATGTTAGGACCTCTATCTATAAAATCGGGTGACATGGTGTGCCCTCTCTATAGAATCAAATGTCGGCGTCGGCACCCATTTTGAGAGAACAAACTGTTTTTTTTTGGACCCCAATTTTAAAAATTGGTGGGTTTTCAGATAGGTATAGATATTTGGTTCTATAAGAAAATTGTTTATACAATGTGAGGGTCATTTTGAGCTCAAGCTCCCAGATTCAATAGAGGATATTCGGCGGAGGATGTTGATGGTATTTTTTGCGTGCTGCTTTGCTTTTTTCTATTGTCTTTTGAGTGGGCAATCTAGCCGCGTGCGTGCTTTGTTGTTGTTGTTCTTCTTCGTCTTCTCTTTGTTTTGCATTGGTAAGTTCCTTTGGTGATTGGTGTCTGCTTTCTTTGTGCGTTCTTTGCAGCATTGGTTTTGCATTTGTCTATGCCGTTTTTGCTGTGTCATCAGACCTAGCTTTAATGTACATCATAATGATTCAACTTCATCAACATCCCCCCCCACCGGTCAAGGACGATGAACGTGAGCGTGAGCGGAACGGGGCGTGTTCCTGACAGGGAGTACGATGAGTGCTGGAAGGATGTCATGTCTCCCTTGGTGCCAGCACCACCCAAAGGGTGGTTTATAGACCGGAAGACGCATTAATAACCACCCAAAACTGGGTTGCTCCTTTCAGACCGTCAAGATATTCGTCCCGGGAAAAGTATTGCCCAGGATTAGGCCTGGGCCTTGATCCTCCGCTCCCTCCTGAGTCCATGTCCAAGGCCTTAACCTCTGCAAGGTGGGGGCCCTCACAGGCTGACCCGCGGGCGCCCAAAACAAATTTTGACCACGGTCCTTTTGGGCGCCAGTGTGCGGCGCGCTTCTTTAATTTGCAGAATTGGCAGAAAGCACACGTGTGAGGATGTGTCTATTTTTACCTGCTCCATCCTGCTCCCTATTTTGCAAACAGCACATGTCCAAGCCTGGTGCACATGGAAAGCCGCAAGATCATCCAAACATGAAGCACAAACACAGTGGACACTTGGCAACTTTGGACAGGTAAAATCTCAACATCCGCAGCAACTTCAGGAAGCTCCTGCGTCACATCCTATCGCAATCAAGAACCTCACCTGAAATGAATGGATTTCACCTCTGTCCTGCCTGGATGGATTTCAGGAGCAGCACATCAAAATTATGCTGGGTTCTGATGACATACAGCACTACACTACACTCAAAAGTACACCATGATTGAAGTCAAATGACTTGTGCGTGGTACAGTTCTCCCCCAACGGCAGCGGGTCAACATATGTCAAGGGCTGCTGGACGGCTCCGAGGCGCCAGGTTCCGCAGGCTCCACCAAATCACGCTGGACCATGTGGATGTCTCACAAGCCGCCAGCAAAGTGCCCAATGCATCCTGGTGCTTCCCACCGCAGCGACCTGGAGGTCAAGCCGGAGTCTTGAACTGGCCCTTGGCAAGAAGAAGAAAGTCAGTCACATCCTCTTCACTTGGAGAAAGTCAGAAACTCGTTGATTATGATTCATCAACTCTCACTGTGTATGATCACCAAACCCCCTTTTCTTGCGCGCGTGTTCGCCACGTGTTCGCCGCGCGTTTTCGTGCGAATGCCCAGCAGCTGAACAGGAGCGACAGGTCCAACTGAAGGACGCGTGGTGCGGCTAACAAGATCTGTTCATAGAGCGAGCACAGCTCCTAGCATTGGACGATCAAATATATGATCAAACGTAGTGATTCTGGAGAAACGCAGAATCAGGGCGAAGTGTTTGTGGATTCAAGGATCAACACATAGTTATACCTGGTGCACCCTGAAAGACTGATCAGCCTTATAGTCATTGATTTGTTCAAAACATGTGTCTCGAACGGTTATTAACACACACTACGGAAATTAACGTGATCGAACGGTTTTTAACGTATCTTCGCTTTGATGGCAAATTGAGCTTGGAAAGTTGTTTTTTCATCTGGTTCCACACAATCAGGAACATACCAAGACGGATCAAATAGCATCCTGCCCTCCGACCCTTAAACTGGAGCCCTCCAGAAGCTCCTGGGCACCCAGCCCCCATGGCCCATCATCCTTTTCAACCACGCGCCCAAATGATGTTGATCTGTGCCAAGTACCGGGCCAACGCCCGTCGTGCAATCGCTCGAGGCGATACTGATCTTGATAAAATGGCCACCCTTCCAATCACATCTTCATCGATAGAACATGTTTCAGCAATTGGGTTCAGAACCCAATGACTCAGCTCACCTTGTCGCACCATTTCATGGTGCACTTCATGCAGCGCGTGTATTTTGGGTATCAGTCCAAACTTTTTCTCTCCAAGGTCATACGACTTGCGAGCCAGCAAAAGATATACGCGAATGAATTGAAGCAATGCTTGCGCCAAGTTCTGAGCAGTAGGTTTATCCAACCAAAGGTCTCCAGCATACAAAGAACGGAAGAAGTGGTTCATCTTCCTGGTCCCATACTCCTTACATGGCTGATGTTTGCAGCAGACCCCAAGAACGAGTGTTGTTTATAAGACCAAAACTTCCTATAGTTGTCTAGTCTACTTTGAAACTTCCACCCTTGCCATATATGTATATATAGACGATACGCACGTTTAGGACAGGTGCCACACTATATGTGACAAACAAAATCTAAAGCTCAGCTCAAGTTGAGCTGCAAAGTATTGAAGCCGCTCGTCTCCTGCAATCAACTCTGGGTGGTGCCCAAGGTAGTCTTCCACAAACAAGCAGAGGTTGGAGGTCACTGCAGCCTTGCTCCAGGTACCCTGCGGTTCAGGCAGAGTGACCCCACACATGTGCTGGTCCAGCTTCCCAATTATTCGTGAGAGCTTTTCTCGCCGACAAAACTCTGCATAGGCGGCATTGAGGATTGCAAACCGTTCACCCACATTTGGGGCTGGAATCTTCAGTTGCAGGAGCATCAACCCAGAACCCAGCCAAAGCTTTCCAGCACCCAAATGAAATGAGTGCCAGAGATCGTACTTGTAGAAACGGGCCTTTCCATTGATGGATCCGTCATGGAACAACTTCTTCGTCAGAACCGCTTCTTGCACCCACGGTGGTGGAAGTTGCACCCGGTGTGAACTTCTCATGGCATGTTCAGCTGCTTGCCTCAGCTGAGAGATATATAGCCAAACAACACTTGACAGAAGTAAGTGCCTAGCAGCTGGACTTATTCACACATGGAGGTCAAGGATGTTTTGGAAACCACCGTGGGCCCGAAAAGAACAGCTTGTCACCAAGACACAGGTTTTCCCAATCGGTGCCCTGTCCGCACATGCACAGGTGGCATATCCCAGCACCTGCCACCCCCAAGTCATTGGCAGCACCATCTGCAGGATCTCTGGATCCCTTTGGGGCCCTGCGGTAAGATCTTTCAAGGTTGCCAGAAGATACCTGAAGCCACAGTGCCGTGTCATGCTGAACATGCTGTACACGTGCATGTATGCACTCCCACAGACACATAGAAAACAAGTACATCTGATCTGAACTTCAGGGCACAAGGTAGGACCAATCACCCTTGTTGCCCAGAATGATTGGAAAAACGGTTCCCTGACCATCCAGCTGGACCCCATTTTGCTCCATTGAGGCAAAATCGGTGGCAACTTTGGAGAACAAAGCATTCCAAACGCGTGGGTCATCTTTGTACATGTCCTTCCAAGTGCACCACAAACTTGAAGACTTTGAGAGGCCTAGATTGTATATTTGTTTGAACACACTTGGGAGAATATTTTACAAGCACAAAAGCAAGTCCAGTCCTTGGGGCAAATCACACTGACCATACGAGTGAGCATACCACATTTGACAAAGTTCAAAGAAAGCCCTGCTTCTCCCATGTTTTCAAGGTTGATGCTCATTTCTTGTGGCCGTTTCGATGTTCCGAAGCCAAGCGGAGATTGAAAGCTGATAATCAGTACCCCGCCTTTTTTATAGCAAATACCTTCGTCACCATGAAGGTATAGAGGTATGCACTGCTTGTATGTGCACAACCCTGCATCCACACGTGGAAACAGCTGGAACTCTGGAAAGACCAATCTATACCGTTGCCAAAACACCTCCAACAACTCTGCTGCCTGAGCAATGGTTGAGAACCCTCCCAAAATGTTGCCCAGGTCGTTGTACATAGCCATCGTTTGGATGAAATCACTGGGCCTTAGCCAAGAAAACTTTTCCAATGGTGGGTCCACCTCCTCAGTGATGGCCACTGGATAGTAGAAGTGGTTCTCCTTGAAAACTCGTTGTACTTCAGCCTCCTAAGTTGTTTCCAATTTGTTTGGGAAACGCTGCCCACCTAATCCAACCTATAAATATTTGTTGGCATCGAAGTCTAAAATGGTATATTTTTGAGGAAATTTGGAAGATCAAAAGGCTACTATTCAAAAATGATTCGCGAGTAAAGCAAAGCTGGGCATCAGATTTCTTAGGGTTTGCTTTCCAGAGCGAGGAGAGCACAGGGCACCGGGAATGGGTTCGGCCATCCTCAATGTCATCCCGGCAATCAGCTTTGGCAAACTTCAGGATCTCAGTCGATCGTTCCTCAATTAAACAATGGCTGAATCCATGCGTGCAGACGGCAGGTTCTGTAGCGCGTCAAGTTTTATGTTGAGGCATCCACAGTCTTCATGTAAATCATGATATACACACTCAATGCAGACTCATCCATTTCAAGAGTGTTCATCTACCCTGAAGTTAATGAGGATGCGAAGATAAAATCATATATGAAAGAAGGCACACGATGACAAGACCCATGAACATGGCCTCATGTGCACAAAAATGTTCAAAAGGTAGTGGAAATCACAAAGGACTGGATACAGATGGTAACCAGCAGGTCCCCTTGTTTTGGCCAAAGTGTCGCCGCAGCCATAGCGCCATGCAAGTTGGCGAGCTTTATGCGAGGGACCTGGCTGTGCAACGGGTGGTGGGCAAACACAGTTCCATGCATGACGCCTGCGCCGAGCCATGAAACTCGCATGGAGATATCCTCAACTAAAAGGATGGGTCCAACACAGAGATCATTAAGCACTTTGGGGGGGTAATGCCAGTCTCAGTTGAGATAGTGCACCCAGAATTGCAGCCAAATGCTGTGGGACTTTTCTCTCACATCCAACATCGCAACAAGCATGTGATTTGGGCAGCCCTGCAGTGAAGACTGCAGCACCGAACTCACCCCTAAATGGATCAACTGTGCAGTTAAGTGCACTGAACATGTGGTTTTCCACACGAACCAAAAACCCCCATGCTGTCACCCACTGATCCAATTCTTCGATTTGCACAAGACCAAACCATCCCAAAGTGTTTACAAAATCAGTTGCGCATGCACGGCATTGGTATCAAAGTTGCATGGACGCTATGTGGGTGCTCAGGCTCACTTCTTCGTCTTTCGACGACCAGAAGTGTCAGGAACCTCAGCCTCTTCGGCCTGCTTACCCCTGGTCCTCTTGGATGGTTTGCGACCACCCTCACTCTTTTTGTTCTTCTTGTTCTTCTTGCCCTTCTTGTCATTCTTGTCCTGGGCCTTGTTCGACTTCGTCTTCTTGTCCGCCTTTGATCTGGTCTTAGTCTTAGGGGCATCCTTGAGCATTTGCCTGAGAAGTGCCAAGCGGCTCGCGTACCTATAATATGGTTTTGAAACTGAATACCAAAAGCATTCAACTACATTGATGACCCTGCGCATTCAACTGGTTTGGGCCAGTGGCTTTTGTTGGCTCTCAAGGCCCAAAAGCTTCGCACACCTAGGATGACATTGGGCTGGGCGTGGAGTTGCGTGGGGAAAGGTCTTGGGATGGAGTCATCACACAGTGGTGTGAGTGACACAAGCTGTGGAATACCAATTGCCAAGCTTCAAATCCCTGACCTTGTTCTTCTCAGCGCCAATCGTTTCCTTCAACCTGGGATTGTGGGCGATCAATGTCGGACTGATGATGTGTTTTTGTTGGGCCTTCACATGGCACAGAACGGCAGAATGCACCTAGTTTTCACGGGCTGGAGTGTCCAGAATCTGCAGGGCAACCATCCTTAATTATAATGCTTGTCATATTTCGACACTGCATCTATGACGCAGTTTAGCCACAAACAGAGTTGCATTGGCATTCTCAACGCAACATCAAATGTGCATTGCTGGGCTTCTGGAAAGACCTATACACCATGTACACTAGATACGGACCAGATCCCGACTGTGCGATGGTGTCACCACCGTCCCTGATGTTCTTGCAACCAGGTTCACCTTAGATGGGGAAACTCTTCACATCCGAGAATAGAAACACGTGCCTGTTAACGCAAGAGGTTCCCTTGAACAACATGAAAATACTTTCTTTATGAGCCATCCAGGGTACCTTTGAACTGCTGAATGAGAGCTGCTTCCAGAAATCCAGGTGAAATGATTTCATCAGCTGCGTACAGGGTCACCAAGTGCTCCCACCGTTCAGGGTCCAGGGCATACCCAAATTTACGGTTGTAGAAACGGGTATGAGCATCATGACAATAGCCAATCTTGTAGATCAAAGGCTTGTGTTTGTTGATCATATGCGCGACATAGTCCACACAGTCTTTGACCACTCGTCCAGGCAATGCATGTTTTGGGGGGCAAGTGATATGACAGCTTCTCATCCAACTCTATTTTGGTAAAGACATCCACAGTCCGTGGCAGTGACAACACATTTGAACCCAAGGCGTCTTTCCAGTGC